AGTTTACAAACTACAACTTTATAAGGTAATCGTATCAACATTTTCTTATTGTGTGTGTCAATGCAGCAATTTAAAAATCTTAGGTGGATGGATTTGTCTTATTCTAAAGATTTGAAAGCACTTCCTGATCTTTCAACTGCCACTAATCTTGAAGAGTTAAATCTCCAAGGATGCTCAAGTTTAGTGCAGCTTCCTTCTTCTATTGGGAATGCAACCAATCTCCGGGAACTAAATCTCTCTAAGTGTTCAAAGATGGTGAAAATCCCTTTTTCTATTGAGAATTTGATCAATCTTCAAAAATTAAAACTCTCAGGTTGCTCAAATCTTGAAGAGCTTTCTTCTTCTATTACCAATATCAAGGAACTAAGTCTCTCTTATTGTTCAAAGCTGGTGAAAATCCCTTGTCCTATTGACAATTTGACCAATCTCGAGGTATTAGACCTCTCTAATTGCTTAAATCTTGTGGAGATTCCCTCACTTAGGAATGCAAATAAACTTGAGGAATTGGATCTTGGTAATTGTTCAAGTCTTGTGAAACTTCCGTCTTCTATCAATGCCACTAATCTCAAGAAATTGACTCTAAGCAATTGTTCTTCTATCGTGGAGCTACCTCATTCTATTGGAACTGCCAAAAATCTCAAGTATTAGAATGTTAGTGGATGTTCAAGTCTCGTGAATCTCCCCTCCTCTATTGGAGATCTCACTAATCTCGAAGATTTGAATCTATCTGACTGCTCAAATCTGGTGGATCTTCCTTCCTCTATAGGGAACCTTCAGCGATTGTATTATTTGACAATGAGAGGATGCTCAAAGCTAGAGGCTCTTCCAACCAACATCAACTTGAAATCTCTCTGGCATCTTAATCTCACAGATTGCTCGCAGTTGAAAAGTTTTCCTGAGATCTCCACACACATTAAGGATCTGTGGCTCACAGGAACATCAATAAAAGAAGTTCCTTTGTCTATCAGGTCGTGGTCTGGTCTTTCTCAGTTTCATATTTCATACTTTGAAAGCCTTAAGGAATTCCCGCATGCTCTTGACATCATCACGGAGCTGCAGTTGAACGAAGATATACAAGAAGTTGTTCCATGGGTCAAGGAAATGTCTCGTTTACGTAAACTTAGACTCCACAACTGCAAGAATCTGGTATCACTCCCCCAATTTTCAGATTCCCTATATGACATAACTGCATACAATTGCCAGTCTCTTGAGAGACTGGATTGTTCCTTTAACAATCCGGAGATACGTTTGAAGTTCATGAACTGCTTTAAACTGAATCAAGAAGCCAGAGATCTCATCATGCACACATCGACTTCGGATTATGCGGTGTTACCAGGTACACAAGTGCCTGCCTGCTTCAATCACCGAGCTACTGCTGAGGGTTCCTTGACAATTAAGTTGAATGAGTCATCTCTTCCCAAATCTTTGAGATTTAAGGCTTGCTTCATCCTGGTTAAAACTAATGAAGAAACGGTTTATGATCATGGTTGGATGTCTGTATATATAAAGATCATGGACAAACAGATTGATCTCGAAGTTCTGTGTAAACTATGCGGCCATTTCATAGATCCACTTTTAACAAAGCATATCTACACATTTGAAGTTGAAGCAGAGGATGTGACTTCCACCGAGCTTCTCTTTCAGTTCGCATCAGGCTATAATGACAACTGGAAGATCGGAGAATGCGGGGTATATCAAATCTTGGAGGTTCAGAGATGATGAGAGCTTCGGAGATGGGAATCGATGGAGGAGGTTAGAAACCCTTATGCCATTTTCGTCTTTAATAATAAGCTTTAATTTTATACAAGATTGTGTAACAGCAAAATTAGAGTTCATCAGAAGAACATCTCTTAATGTGCAGCATCTTAATTAGTTCTTGTAGTCTCATTAGTCAGGCTGTTCGGTCAGTTAATTCTATTAAAAACATCTTAGATTCCTGGTTGATCTGTTTTGTTAGGACAAAGCTCACATGGAAACATGAATCTTGATCTCTCAATTGGTCTACTTGTTTCTTTGACAGGTACTGGACTTGCTTAAAGATGCATGTATGTGAGTCTTCGCTGGATTGTATCAGTTTGAAAAGTTGATGATATATGTAAGTTTACAAGTCTTACTTTGTTGGCGTTGAATCTTGGTTGGTGTTTACCTTTGAAAAACCTAATTGTCATATCATTATCTAAGATAATTATGATTGATTGATAGTGATTATTGGAATTAGCAAGGAACAGTAAGTTTCTCTGCAACTAGCAAAATCTTTTTGAATAACCCCAATTTTTTTTTATTAATCTTTACTGAAATCAAAAGAGGATAATAAAATTCAAACTAAAAAGTACAATAGAAGCAACACTTTACCCACTGTTTGTTTGTGCTCTCACAGTTGGATGATCAAGCATTGATAGAAGTGATGAAGAAACTTTTCAACAACTATAAGAAATAGTCGAAAGAGTAGTATTTGGTAAGGGAGTTGTAGACATCTATACTCAATTATATATAGTTTCTGCAGGAGTAGCTTAGAATATGATCATAAACAGAAATTTTAGGAACTGACTCGAAAAAATATTATATTCAAAAGTAACTAAGAGTTTCTGTGTATTTTTCATGAGCAGGAATTAAAATTTTTTTGTTTGTGGCTAAATGTTTTAGCAAACTCTGGTGTCGAGAATATGTTTTAATGTATGCTCTACTTGTGGGTTGCCAACTATACAGCAGGAAA